GGAAATCACTATAATTTTATTCTATATATGGAAGGAATTTATTCAGAAGATCCCAGCGTCCCGGAAAGAAGTTGTTCTGAATTAGATCCATACATTTTTTTTCATGAATGTGCTTTCAAATATATATTACATGTTTTTAGACCCACTAGCCTTTAGACCCCTTAGGGGAGAAATCATAGTACAAATGTACATAATCAGATAATCTGAAAATAAAGTTACTTATTGTTTTTAATATCATTTTGTAACGTCCGTCACACACACATTTCTGATCACCTTCAAGCTGTATGTCAAGTTAAGAATTGTTCCTCTTGTCCCTTGATGAATGCCTGTGGTATAAGCAATCTATATTACACAGTATCCAATTCCACGAGGTAATACTCGGACAAAGTAGAATTGCCCATATACATATTTTGAAAACTTAGACACAGGTGAACCTGTTTTATAATATTGACGCCATTTACTCTGTGCAGTGACGATGAATTTCGTCGAAAACCAAAATAGACACGTACTGTGTTCATTTCATCATAAACCTTAGAAAGGTCTATGATTTCATCCATGGTGTGACGATGAACTCATACTGACATTGCATTGTTCTTTAGTCGTTTTCAAATTAGAAGTTTAATATCATATTTCCATTTTGTTTGTTTTCCGGATGTTTAAAATATATTTTATTTATTTTCTGGCATCAGTTGCATTTTCGATCTTCTGTCTTCAAGTTGAAATGACGATGGACTCTCAAAACTTGTGAAATAAAACAAAAGATCGTTTAGACATTATGATTGAGGGCGCTAACGAATATCTAAAAATGGCCGCATAAATGCAGTATTGTTGCTGTTGTTTCTGATACTCGTGTATTTATTCGTACGGAAACTCTTCATTGGTAAGTCAGTAATATTGTCTTGTCGTGACTGGGCTTGACAGATTGAATGAACAACCCTAGACAAATCTTGGAAATATAACACTCATGTTAATTGCGGGCATCGAAAATTAGTAATTAGCCATTGTACTATCATTGAATTTGAAACAAAGCCGCACCCGGGCTTGCCGGCCATCAACAGGATTCGGTGAAAAACACTTATAATTATTTGACCTGCTTGAATCCGCTTTAATGCGTGTTTGTTTGTTATTATTATCAAGTGTCTATGGTGAAGTATTTTTTTCTCTCCATTATAATAAGTTTAACAATGGCACCACGGGCTGAGTATTCTACCGACTGTGCTTTTAATGGATTCGGAAAACCTGTATTCACTTGTGTTTTGAAAGTAGATCGAGATTGAAAAAAAAAAAAAATTAATAAGTATAGTATGCCATATTAACTTCTATAAGAACAAAATTGACAACTTAATATCAAATTATTGATATTTTAAAGGGCGGTGTCATCACACCGTTGTTTGTTTACATGAAATTCTAACGTGCGGTGTGCAATTACCACCACCCTTTAAACTTTACTGAAATGAATGTAATAATACATTTTAGGACAACGAATACATTATCATATTTTGTTGCTTTGTTTCATCCCACTGGGTGCTTAATCCAAACTAACCATTCACGCACAGTTCATAAGCCTGTAATAAGGGTCTAGACAGAATCTTACAAAAAATAAGTCAGATTCAGCACATACTAAGCATACATGAATGTTTTCTTAGTGCGAACTAAAATTTTTGAACCCCTACTCTATAATACCCTGGGGAGAACCCTGCATATAATATTGCAGCCTGGTACATGTTTACTGATACACAGTAAGTGGGTTTGTTATGATTGAAAGGCTGAATATTATTTAGTGCAAAGTTTATACATGTAGGTGCATGGGTTAATACATGCAGAAAGCCTTCACAGAATCACAGTCCTCCCTGTGGAGGGATTGTGACAGAAGGATTATTTCCGTAATTGCAATATTTGTTTGTTCGTACAACATAAATTGAGAAAATAAATTCCGTAATTCTGTAATCACAGGCTAGACGTACGGATTTTTTGATAATTCCAAGTTAAAATGGAGCATTCTATGGCTTCCTTGGGGCCAAAATTACTATCAGACAGGTCACAGTTGAAGACTGTGGCCACATGTGATCCTTGGTCAATCAGAATTTTATGGTTGCCAGAGGATCTGCTCCCCAGGGTAAGGGGGCGCATGACCATGGCACGAGGACGCTGTGCTCCTGGTTCCCTTGTTTGAAAAAAACCCTGATATTGGCTCCATCAATAGCGCATATAAATTCCAGAGGTTTTTTTTCATTCAAAATACAAAATATTATGTTTTAATGTTTCAATATAGAACAGATGGAATTTTAGGTTTATATGCACTTCTATTGGAGATGCGCTTCTACCGGTAACTGTTAAATCAAATATCAAAATAGCGAAATAACATACCAGTGAAAATTAATGCTTTTACATTTTTTATAGTTCATAGCACATTGTAATTAATTCAAGAGATAATCCTGACTTTATCAAATTTGCACTTTACATGACAAGATAAACTATATTTTACGGTCATATGTATACAATAAATGCAACTGATCGTCTACATGCGCTTCCATTGGAAATCTCTTTCAAATAAAGCAAATGCGGTATTCAGATTATTTTGTTTTAAAAAAAAATGGTCATTCAGGCAAATAGACTGGTGTAAGGGTAGGTTGATGTAAATATATGCATATACTTCTTTCTTGTGGGTTTATAGTTTAGGGGTGTGAAATCAAAATCTGTCACATTCATTCACTTTTATCATTTGGAAAACTCAAATAATTTTGCATGTTTCTAAAATGTACGCTTTTCACTTTTCAGGTAAATCTGTTTTCCAGTACAGAGATAGTTATCGCTCAACAAGACCCCAAAAATGGAAGGTAAAAGAAAACCCTATAAAAAACGCAAGGATGGGTCTCAGATGAAGGGTGTGCACTATGACAAAAAACCGTACCAATGTGAACAGTGTGGAAAGTTTTTTAATTCCAGCAGTCATTTATCACGGCACCGTCGGACACATAATAATGAGAAATCGTATTATTGTGAAGTATGTAAGAAAGGTTTCTCACGAAAGGAATCCCTTACGATACACACAAGGAAGCACACTGGCGAAAAACCTTTTCAATGCCTAATGTGTACGATGTGTTTTTATGCAAAGTATCATCTGAAAATTCATATGGCTTCACATACTGGTGAAAAACCATATCAGTGTACATTCTGTGACAAACGTTTTGCTATAAAAACTAGTTGCGCTAATCACATGAAGCTTCATAGTGGTGAGAAACCGTTCCAGTGCGAATGGTGTGAGAAACGATTTTCTGACAAATATCATCGAGCGCGCCATGCAATGGTGCATACTGGCGAAAAGCCCTACCAGTGCGACCAGTGTGGGCGTCGTTTCTCCGTGAAAAGTCAAATGACAAGACATGTGAAGTCACATGATGGTAATATGGTATCTACGTGCAACAAATGTGGGAAAGGTTTCACACAAAAGAGTAATCTGTATAGTCATATGAGGACCCACACTGGGGAGAAACCTCATCTTTGTGAGCAATGTGGAAGAGCTTTTGCTCGTAAGAGTGCGTTGACTTTACATGTGAGGCTACATGGTAGCGAGAAACCTTTTCAATGTAAACTATGCGATAAAAGCTTCAAACAAAATGTTTATCTGCAAACACACATGAGGATTCACACCGGTGAGAAACCATTTCAGTGCGATATTTGCGGAAAAAACTTTATTCAGCAAGGAAGTTTAATCATCCACAAGAGAACACACACTGGAGAGAAACCATTTCAATGTGACGTATGTGACAAAAGTTTCAATCAAAAGGGTAATTTGGACAGTCACAAAACAAGACATACTGGTGTGAAACACAATCAGTGTGATTATTGTGGAGAAATTTTCGCTAGAAAGAATGATCTGAAGAAACATCGAATGACACATGCTGATTTATTTCAGTCAGTGCAAGTTAAAACAAAACTACAACTAAAAGTAGTAAAATAGTTTACTACATGTTTGTATTTTTTGTATCTAACTAAAAAAGAAACTTGATATACCTGAATTATTTACCTGTATGCCATAATACTATACTGGTAATACACAATTTGGTATTAAAACCTCTTTTGCATCTACCTTGGATCCTACACAGCTAATTACATAATTACAACAAACACACTAATAAGACGTACAAAAGTATTACAGGCAAAAATGTAATGTTTTAAATGAATATAAATAGTGCAATATCTAGTTTGTTTTTTGTAAAAATGTATGCTAATTTATTGGTTAATTTGCATGTTAATCTTCGCTTGTCTCATTTCTTGATGTCAAATATTTTGTCACATGGCATTTAGTACTTGTATACTAATGAAAAAATGGTTATTATTGTAAATTTCAATCAAGAGTGTTGAGTGCTGAATTTGCATATTAATTACCAATAGATCAATATTTAAATTCAATCAATTTATTTTTGAAATTTTAGAACATACTAATAATGTTCAATTGGTGATTAAATAATTGTGAAGCAATTAATTTTTTTGCATTTTAATCAGACTCACTGGCATGTACACTAATAATATACTATTTTATAAAATATAACAACTGCTGAAAAATAATAGAACTAAACTTAATTTGTAGAGTAGTGCAGCAAAATGTACGTGTGTATTATCATAAACAGGACACATTCAATCTACATCAAATTTCAATATTTTGTGGCTTTGAGAATACTATTTAGTATTTTTGTGGTGAAAAGGTATTAAGTTTTCCTCCTGGGGAGAAAATGATTCACATCAAACATTGTTTGCTCTATTGGAAGAAGCAAACCATGGTTGTCACCTGTACAGGATGGTTCTACAGTTACATCATATTGTGTTCGAAGGGCTTAGAAATGCTACACAAGTAACAGACTTGAAGATCAATTTTGTTGCATGTTGATGTACACAATGTGGTTGAATTATTGAACTTTTATTTCTTGCATGTTACCTTAATACCTTATGAATATTCTGTTATGAACTCATGTTTGAATTTCATGAAATTGGATTTCAAGAAAATATCGTTCTGGCCTCCATTTTCGCTAGTATCTTTACAGTGTATTGATATTATGTATAGATTTTATTTTCATCTAAACGACATGATTGCGTTTGTAGGTAGTAGCATATGTACATGTTTAAATGTCGAGCCAACCAGTTATTTTTATTGATCTATTTAATGATCAATAGAATTTTTGCTTCATATGCACTCCAAATAGAGCAAATACTAAATCTGTTTTCTATCTTGTATTTTGTTTTTCTGAGATCAGCATCATTTTGTAACAAATAGTTATCATTTTTTTAAGTTTTCCTAATGTTTCTGTATAGTATCATGACAAGCCATATGTTTGTATTGTATATAATAGATAATATTTATTAATCATTTTCCTAAGTAACTATTCAAAAGGCATTTTTAACAATGGCTCTTTATTAGTCCACAATTTCAAAATGGCTTACTGGCGACCATTTTGTTTTAATGAATGCAGTTCTAGAGCCATATCTCTGATATGCTTTGACTGATTATGTTCAAATTTTATATATTCATTATACATCATATCATAGATATAGAGATGTATTCAAAATGGCCAACCAGTGGCCATTTTGTTTTTAATAATGCTGTTCCAGGACAATAGCTCTCAATATGAACAAGTACTCCTTTGATGATCGGATACAAGATGACTGAATGTCAGCCATTTTAATGTTAAAAAACCATAATCAAGCATCAGCTTCTGGATCCATATCTCTGACATGTTTATGCTCCAACTACATGTATATTACTATATACTATATCTCTCAAATTTGCTAACTTACTGGGACTGTGCCATGCATGCCTTGATGATGTTTGTATGAATGGGTGTTTATTCGATAATATCAACATGATTGAATTATATATGTATTACATTGATGAACTAATTAGATTACTTACATGTACATACTGGTGTAGATGGTGTTCAGTTTAGTCATAGTATTTGGAGTATATTAAAAGTTCATGTGAAACAACACTTGTCTCATTGTCTTTGTTCACTGTGGTTGCATTTTAATGTGGAGATTGTAAATCACTGTGGCTTATTCATTTGGAGATTGTAAATCATTACAATTGCTTTAATTATGAGATTGTACAGCCACTATAGTTACATAGGGAGATTTTAATTCATGTTTCATATTATCATTAATTATTGTGCCACTTGTATAACCCTTCGCTCAGACCACAAGTTTATTCCAATAAACCAAAAGCATTTATTTCACTGGTGTCTTTACATAAAGCAACACTTGCTTATTCACAACAGCCATACCTATACTCTTCATCATCAACAACGGATTGTTCATACTTGAACAGCAGTGGCTCTCAAATACATGTAGTCTCCAACTCCAGCTCTAACCATTGCAAGCCCACACATTTCTTTTATATTGTCACTCAGTCTCATCTTTGGTCTCCTCCTTCCTCTGTTTCCCATCACCATGCCCATCATACTTATGTACAGAATTTTGGATATGTTGTGAGGCCAGTATGGCTCTAAGGTGCGATTAACCTATACCATGACAATCCATCGAAAATACAAAATAATTCACACACTGCTTCACCAAATTTCTGTCAGTAGAAGCGTACATTTGCATAAAAACAAAAGACTATAATCAGTGTTGTGCACATCACTTGATGATAAATGTATTCTTCAAACATTTACATCTGTATAGCCATTGTAACAAAATCCCTCGTAAAGTGAAAAGTTACAGGTACTAACTGACAATATGAATATCTCGGTTTTGAACCATATTGGCCAAGTTGTTCATTCTACTAGTTGAGAACTGTGGTTGTTTACAAGTCTGCATAGTGACAAAAAGCCAACATATACATAATATACATTTTATAGATAGCAATGTATATTTCATGCTGACTAACAACATACATTATGTTTTAGTTTTAAAGCTATTGAATACAAATTTGAATTCTGTCCATAAGGATCAAGCCAACTTTTAGTCAATATTACAAAATGCACCAAAATCGAACTTCGTGGAGAGTTCATACTGATTATCATATGTAAATGTGAAACCATCCAGATAAAAATCTTTCAACATATTGTAACCACAACAAATTTTATGATGGTGATGACCCAAAAAACACACCCTCACCCCATGTTACACACATACATATAGATGTTCATGGGCACTTGGAGTGAATTTTTTTTTTTTTTGCTTTTTCTTAGCCAGATAGTCTTGGCTAGATAGTGTTAAAATTTCGGAGCATTGTCAGGGCTGGAACATACTGAAAAATCGATTTTAAAATATAAGGAACTGAGGCACGCGTATGTGATTAAAAGTCCCGAAAGAGTCTGTATAATCTATGTATAAGTAGGAGTACCACCTCGTGTTATTTGTGTAACAGATCGACCATATTTGGTTATAGTTTGTTCATGCCATCTGAAGAACACGATCGCATGCATTAAAAACACTACCACACAAACAAGACACAACGGTAAGAATTTGTTTAAAACATGTTTTTCAAAAAGTGCTAGTACGCCCTAGTTTACATGTATCAGACAGATGTATATACGATGTATCATAATTGAATTGAGTACACAGCTTGTAACATTCATATAATATTGACCAGAATGGTGGCGTATACTACAAGAAATAAAGAAAGCATTGCATTAAAGACACAAGTCAGCTGGACTAGTCATTAATGAGTTACAATTGATTAATTGATTGCAAAATGTCTGCCATTCCTTTTTTTTTTCGCTGTGTAAATTTTCTTCACATACTATGATATCGAGTTTGTGTGGTGTTATACATACTTCATTTACAAATAGTTGCTAGTACATAAAGGCCAAATAAGAATACAGGTAGTATTCAGTACATGGTCAAAAGAGGGAAATGTAAGTCTTGTATAATTCACGGTCAAATAAAAGAATGATACATGTACATCCATATATAGACCGGCAGCCCAGAGCATTTTGATCAAACGAACGAGGTACCAATATCTGAACACATGAGCATTCGTGGTGTAACCTAACATATGCAAATATGGATGTCTGCCGGGGAGGGGCCAAAAATGCACTCGATTAAACATTGGAGGTACCACCCCAAACCAATTTGAAATGAACAAGTACATCATACAGAGTATAAAATGGCTCCTGCCAGACAAATTTTCTGCTGCATTAGGCCCGACAGATGCCCAAAAAGGACCCCTCCAAGATTTGGGCTAGATCAAACATTGGAGGTACCACATAAAACCAATTTCAAAAGAATGAGTACATCCCACAGAGCTCAGAATGGTCCCTGCAAGACAAATTATTTGCTGCATAGAGCCTGCCAGACAGTCTTCAAATGTGGCCCCTATGCCTACTATCTTACTACTGATTGAGTAAATATGGAAAATACCACTATATCCCCCAATGGGATCTCAAAATTTGGTCCACATCACACATTAGAGGTACCATGTAAAACCAACTATTGTATCTGTGTCTGGAATGTTACTGCAGCACAAATTGGTCTCTGCATACACGTAATCCCCCCATTGGGTATCTCAAAATTGACTTGCGTTTAAACACGTGATGTACAGCTTTTTAACAATAACAATTTATTGCCTTACATATAAATACACACCTAACAAGATAAAATAAAATAATTTGAACTGTAAGAATAAATAAATAAAAAAA